AATATAATCTAGCCAATTATATTTATTTATAATCACGTGACCAGTAAGCTATTAGTATCTTAAATCTGATAACCTCTCAAAACTGATACAAAAGCTGTTCACCATGCCTATCGGATTTGAGGTGTGCTGTACTAGGTAAAGTTTATATAGAAAATTTTCTAATGTTACCAGCTAAGGCATAGGTAAAGTTATTAGTAGGGGAATAAAAATCTTACCAAAAAAAAAAATGTCGTACAAAAAATATGCACACTCATGTGATTTGGTTTTCTTTTACAATAATGATCTTCATTTTTAGCCAATCAGCTTGCGAGTAAAAAAATGATAAAATTGGCACCATTTTGCCAAGAACATCTAATATAAGTTTCCGGGGCCCTATTAAGCCTGAGATGCTCTATTCTAGTGATTTGAACCGAAAAAAATTTTTCTTAATCGGTTAACCGAACCGAATTATTTTCATTCAACCGGTTGCCAACCAGTTAAGATTAATACTCTACTTACCTTCGGAAATTCTTGGAGCTTTACATTTTTTCGGAACTTTTTGAAGTATTTACCTCCTTATTACATCATTTTGTCATTTCCGATCCCGCCAGCCGGTTGTACCAGGTCAACCGATTAAGAATTTCCTCAACCGGTTACCCGAAATTTATTCAGTTCGTGTCGGTTAACCGATTATAGCTTAACCGGTTCAAGTCACTACTCTATTCACGAACCGAAATTTTCTATTGAATTAAATAAAATCTTTAATTTTATAAATCTGGGTTCCAAAATACAGTAGATCTTGATTTTTTAAAAGCCAGGTTCCAAAATCAAGATTCTAAGCCTAACGCTAACATTACCATCCCTAATCATATTCTAGTAGTTCTAGTAAAACTGCGATAAAGAGTATTTCCACCACGTGACTAGATTATCTAATTGGAAACGTGAAACAAATAAATGTATAAACATTCAAACTCCAAAAAACACGTTCTCGAGCATTGTCTTGACAAATGGCTACTGGAAAAGGATCTGGCTCAAAGTTAAACCGTCTTCAATTTAAACAAAAACTTGTAACATCGTCAGCAAAACCAATTACTACACAAGAGCTGCTAAAACGTCTAAAGGTACCTGAAGCTTGGTTTATTGGTTTATTTGATCTTTATATCGAAAAATACTAAAACTTTAGATTTATCTAAAAATAGAATTTATTTGGGGAAATTTCTAAAACGGATCAAGAAGAGATTGAAACTGAATCTTTGAAGACTGTGACTCGTGAACTTATACATAATACTCTGCTCTCCCATAAAGATAAAGGTGTGAAAGCTTACGTCGCTTGTTGTATATCTGATCTTTTGAGACTTTACGCGCCGGATGCTCCATATACTGATAAGGAACTAAGGGTAACATATGCTGAAGCAACGAGCTCTTTAAGAAAAAAAAACTGCATTTTGGTTAATATAATTCATTTTTAACATGTCAGATCATTTTTGAATTTTTTGTTCGCCAATTTCAAAACGTCGCCGACACAAATGGAACATATTTCGATCTTTATTTTCATTTGCTCGAAAATTTGGCTAGGGTAAAGATAGTCTTGTTAATATTGGATTTACAAAATCATGAAGAGCTTTTATGTGATTTATTCAAAATCATATTCGACATCGTCAGGTTTGAAATCATACTTTTCTCTTTATACTAATGCAACATTTTAATCATTTATATCTTACCTTATGCAGACCGGATATGTCAAATACTGTTCGCTTGCATATGGCGGACATTCTTGAGCAGTTAATAAATGAAAGTCATTCATTACCTCAGGATGTCATCGATATTATACTTGCACAATTCTTACAAAAACGAAAAGTAAATCTTCGCTTTGTTTACACATTCAATT